GGAGAATATATATGCTAACACCAAAACCTAGAGGTAGTAGGTGCAATTTTTCAAGTTGAATTCACAGGGTTTAATGCATCATTTCCTTTTGTTTCAGAACAATGGTAATCACGCCTTTCGCTAGACTATGATGCAAATATAATGTAGCCCTGGTGATTAGTGATTACCTTGTTGATTTGTGAAGATCACGACAAATAGGAGGTCAATTAAGCTTATCACACGACTCCAATTGCTGATCAGCTCAGCAATGGCTTATGATAGGTAAGGTGTGTGGATTTAGTTTACCACATGAACATGATACACCTCTTTAGAAGGTTCTTTGAAAAATGTTTGTTGAAAACCCATCATAGATGGCAAAGTCACACCCGTGAAGCTAAGTCGGATGCTGATGCATTTGACTTTGAGGCATTATGAAAATTGCTAAATTTGGGCGATGATTGTCCACACAAGCTGACCATAGGAGATTCAGGCCTGGAGGGGACATGGTGATGGTGATCACCTGCTGAATTTTCTTCAACCACGGCAACACATTTTCAGCAAAGAAGAGGATAGTGTGACTTTGGTCATACGCCTTTTGTTGTTAGCAAATAATGCAAATAAAGATCAAACATAAGACACAAAATTTTACGTGGAAAACCCTTGCGGGAAAAAAAACCACGGGCACCAACCAATGATCTACACTATATAATGATGAGAGCTTACAAAACACAGAGAATACACAATGAGTCTTGTGCTCTTTCTGTGCGGCTTTCAAGATGTATATATAGGACGAACAGACTGCAGTCCAATATGAAAACCAATCCGCTAAGCACATAACCTGAACCGCGGGCCCTCCAAGTGTCCTCACAAGACCCACGTTAGAATTCGGATCATATTCCAACATCTGTGCCCTCATCATCCAATAAGGCATCGTCCTGGGTGGCGAATTGATGAAAATCTACTTTCTCATATAGGAAGCGGTTTTCACAGGCATATGTTGAGTTTTCCTGTGCCAGCCTTGATTCATAGGCCAGCAATATCTCCAGTTGCATGCAAATCTGTTTCAGCAATGGATTGTTTAGAGAGACTCTTTCAGTATAACATGGAGAAAATAAGTTATATTCATCAGTTCACAAGAACAACACCATGTACTATATGCCATAGTTTAATGGATGTAGTGATACTCTTTAGATGTTGTTAAGAACAAGCTTGCAGTACCAACAGTTTATAGCTAATATGAAACGAGATACTGGACTCAAACTTCTCATCGCCATATAATAATATAGTTTCATATGAATCTAATTTATGTAATGCTCAATTTTCAAAAGAAGCAGATTACTGAAAATTCAACCCTTATGCAAGTGTTCAGAAATGATGAGCACTAATAGCTACTTATATAATTTATTTAATTGCAAGATTCAGATGTAGTAATATTCATTTATCAGTTTGGTGATGAAGTATCACCTATTGAATGTTCTTGATGAATTGAAAATGAAGGTGTATGTAATTCACGAAAAGACATTAAACATGATAACAAAGAAGTTTGACCAGAAAAAAGATTACCAAGTCATCATCTTCAGTTTTGTCCCCTTTCTGCTTTGTTTCTAGCAAGAGCTTGTTTTATACTTCTAGCAGAGCACATCTCTGCTTTGCAAAATCTGGATCGATTCAACAGATTTTTGTTCATGGAGTAGAAGTTTTTCTTTAGCAGTCATTGCATTAGCAACCTGAAAGCATTGATAGGGGAAAGAGAAAGGGATCATTGCTGGTAGATACTACAAAAGAATAACTTATCTGAAGCATTCATCTAAAATTTCCGAAAAGACAAAATTTATGTTTTAAGGAAAAAAAACAATTCTGCTAATTCATTGTAAGCACAGAAAAGAGCTTACTCTGCTATTCTGATGGCCACGATGCTTTTTTTTAAACAAATCAGGCAGGAGCAATGCTTATGTTTTGATAATGCTACAGATCGTAAGAAAACATTAGGCAACTTCAGCTGGTACCCTGTCAATTCTTGAGTCTTGGCTACACTACAACTCCGTAGATGGGTGAAGGAACTATTAATAAATAGACCAGCAAAATAAAGGAACCGGAAACAAGTAGATCAACAAAGGAACTAGAAATATTTTTTTAGTAGAAAATACAAACATCTGTATGCTTTCCTTATACCGAAAACTAATGCTGTACTCCATTTCATGAGACTAGAAAACATAAACTTTATTGTTGATCTGACAACAATGAGGACTAAATGTTTCTCTATATAGAGGATGTATAATATCGTATTTGTCATCAAGATATAAGCATGTGGCACCTGACATCGCGAGAAGCGTACAGTTCAGTCTCCTGGGCTGCAGATTCAGGTTAATGGTGAGAGGTCAGGAGCGCTGGGTTTATGTGTATCTACTGCTGAATTCGACATATGAGAACTTGAACTGGCAGGTTTCCTTCTAATTTGAATTTTCTTTGTTTCCTCAACTCAATGATGCTGGATTTCTTATTATCCACAATTGTGAGCCCTTCCTGTTAAAGAAAGGAAGCCAATTTACAATACAGCTCAGGGTTATGCCATTTATAGAAATAGATCTTTTACGATGGTTGGGAAAGTACCTTGATACCTCTAGGTTCTTTCATCTTTTTCTATTTTTTAAGTAATTAATTGAGAAATATATTGCAGAGGGTATGTTAGTAATTGAGGTTGTGTCCGTCTCAAACTTGACATAACCCCGCTGCCAGCCCAAGTTTAATAGGGCACTTCCAACCCCCCGCCGGTGCCGCCGCTCAGTTGCGCATCTCCATCGATCCCGCACTAAAGACCTCAGGCATCCAGTGTGTTTGGGCCGCCGCCGCCATGTACGAGTAAAGGAGGTGCTTGTGTTCATGTTGCTACTAATCACGGCACCTGTGACGGTTACTGACTAATATGGTGCAGCTGAGGACAGCCTGACCCGACGGCACAGCTGCTGCCAGGCCAAGTGCACGGCGGCCAGCGGCCTGCTCGCCCGGTGGCGCAGCTTCTGCTGCCGGCTGCATAGGGAAGAGGAGCAAGGACAGCATCGGCTCAGGAGGCGCTGGGAATAGCACGTAATCGATCGGGCAGGTGCGGCTGCTAGTGGCCGTTGCCATCCATGGAGAGAGAGCACGCGCGTGACACTTTCCATGGTCAGAGCTTCGACGGGTGAGAGAAGACCATGGTCCAAGAGACGGAGGAGGAAGAAAAGGACTAAAATGACGGATTTACCCTTATTCGAAAATAAAATATACAATAGAAAATAGATCTTATCCCACATATTTTGGTACTAACCCCACCTAATTTGGTACTATCCCAACATGTTTGGTACCTCTAGGTACTTTCAGTTGGGTACCTTCTATTTTTTCACCGTCCGATTTTACCCAATGGATGACCCATGTTTTTTCCAACCATCGTAAAATTTCTCTTATAGAAATAAAGAAACAAAAACAAATGCGTTAAGTAAAAACACATTACTTACAATGCATTTTTTATTGTTCCATCCACTAAGCTGGTTGACAGAATCAGAAAGAGCCTCAGTGGTTTTCAAATGATCAAAGGTCTGGCTCGTGATGCCGCATCTCCTGTCTTCCAGTGGTTTTCAAATGAACAACAAGAGTTACGGGCCTGAAATTACAAGGAAAAAAGGCCTGGAATAATATTAATGAAGTGAGAGACAATGCCAAACACAAAAGGTTCATTTGTGACTGTCAATATCTTCAGATAGTTGCTGCCTCACCTGATATTTTCTGGATGCACCGTGTTGCTACATGGTTGTTCTTTCCTTCAGTTCTTAAACGTAGGCGCCAAGCCATCCTTGTCAAGAATTCCCTTGGCTTTACTTGCCAAAGTTTGCCAGAACCCAAGGTTGGCTCATTTATGATTTTGAACGATGTGTAACATTATGATGAAGCAGAGTCCTGCAAAGGAAAACCAGTATATCATCTCATTGTGCTGTGGGCCAACTACTAGTGCTGTGATACAAACAAGGTGATTGTGCATATCAGATATTCAGATCACCAAAGTAGCTTACGTGTCATGATTTAGGGCGTCTAATATAATAAGGTGGAACCAAACAGTCAGCAGCCATTCATGATATGCCACAATACATGGTCTTTGTTGAGCCAGTTTTCTTTCCTTCTGAAAAGTACCAATTCACGGCATGAGATTCAAATAAAACTAAAGAAGGGTGAAATAATGCAATATTGTACCTGAAGAGGAAAATTGCTAGAAAGTATCATCAACAAGGCATATGCACCATGATCTTTATTCATTGAAACAATTCTCTTTTCCTCCTAAAAGTACTAATTCACGGTATGAGATTCAGTGCAATAATGCAATATTCAGGAAAAATGGTAGAAAGTGATATGATCCAGGAACTGAAATTGTAGGAGAGATTGAATTTGTTGGATAAAGAAATAAATAGTTGGACATGATATGATCCACTTGTAACACAAGCATATGGCAATGGGTCATATCTATATGCAAAAAATAACTAAAACAGTTCGGTTTGCACAGTCATTGAAACCACAAATCCAAGAGCATAAGCTGTTTTTTTTATTTGGAACTAACCTGCAGATCGATGTACAGTGAAGAGTTAGAGTGCGTGAAAGGCAGGGAGAAGCAGAGATTCAGCTTTCCGCGTCAGGAATGAAGGAAGGAAATTGTATGTATATCTGGCCTTGTTCCCTTTAATTTCTGGCATTCCTCATAAATCAGGTATGGGCAGCGATCTCATATTTTGAATTGCAATGATTTGTAATTCCTGGAGAGAAGGGAGGGCCAGCAGAGCCCTGCAGTCTTCAAACGACAGGCTTTGGAGAGATGTGAGGAGCTGAAATTATAGATCATAAATTCAGTCTACAAAAGAAATAAAAAAAATCAGTTTGCACACTTAATGAAATCATAAATAGAGGAGCAAAAAGTGTTTTCTTTTAATTTGGAACTAACCTGCAGATCGATGTACAACGAAGATTTGAGCGTGGTGTGAAAGGCATGCAGAAGCAGAGGTTCAGCTTTCCGCCTCAGCAATGAAGGCACATACATCTATATCTGGCCTTGTTCCCCTTAATTTCTGGCATTCCTCATAAATCTCGGCACAACAATCAGAAATGTGCAGCCGTCGAAGTGAATCGGGGAGGCCCTCCTTGGGCAGCGATCTGATTTTTTGGGTCCCCAAGATACGTAATTCCTGGAGAGAAGGAAGGCGATGCAACCCTTGGGGGAGGGACCGCAGAGCCCTGCAATTGTCGAACCACAGGATTCGGAGAGACGTGAGGAGCTGAAGCGCCTCATCCTGCTCTTCCGTGAACTTCTCCGTCCGCCAATCACAAATGAAGAATAACCTCTGGAGGGTAGCGGAGAGGCGGCTGCAGATGGGAGCAACAAGCACTGCGGAGATGCTGTCCACATGAAGGCTCACCAGTTGGAAGGAACCGGCGGGCATTGTTTGGGTCCTTGCCACCGCTACAAGTACATCTGCTGCTACAGAGTATGGCTCAGCCTCACCAGCTCTCCAATTGTACACCCGCAGATGCTCGAGGTTGGATGTGATGAGGGGATCGAACCCATCCGCTGTGATATCCTTGCAATTATCAAGTTGTAGACTGGTAAGAGATGTGAGATTCGCGAGCAGAGCCATCGGCAGCGTGCTTTGCTCACGCTTAAGGCTGAGTTCCTTGAGGCACGGAGGGAGAGGGTAGATGATGCTATGAGTCTGAGATGCAACTCCTCCCATGGACCATCGAGAGAATAGCTTGTCACAATTGATTATGATCACGGACTCGAGAGACAAGAGGCCCCAGAATCCAGCTCCTTCCTCTTCATCCATAGGCAGGATCAGATTCTTACACCCAAAGAAGCGGACATCTCTCAGCGAGCTGGAGGGTGGAAACTGCAGTACCACTTCCTCTTGATCCTCATCTGATGATGCCCGCACACCCAAACGAGAAAGAGCTGGGAAACACTTGAACAAATCTGACAAAGATTTTCTGGTAAGAGGAAATTGATCCAGTTCGAGAGATTGGACTTCGTGGAGCACAACACCATCATCCAGTCCTCTCAAAAACGTTTCCTCACATCTATTGACCTCTATATGTCTTAGGGAATGTAGCTTTTGAAGATCCATAAATGAGAAGCATGATGCATCCTGAATTGTCAACCTTTCTACATCACCAAGATTGTGGAAGGCCAATAATTCATAGGGCATCCGAATGCCCAACTCAGTACGATCATAAGCCAAGCACTCCGTCTTAATACGGGATACCTTCGAGGTGTGAGGCAAGGGAGGAAGGCACAACTTTGGGCATCTATAAATGCAAAGATCATGAAGACTAGGGAACCATATGGTGTTGTCTTCTGTAGAAGAAATAGGCCAACCCGAGAATAGCAGCGTAGTGAGCATGGGACAATCAGTGCAGCTGATTTTTTCAAGCCTTAAGAACAGATGACAGTTAGCTCCCCCAACCCACTGCACGAGTTCCGGCATATCACAAAACTCAACTTCCTTCAAGTGTGTGAAACTTTTTTCTGTTGTGCCACCGAAGAAGTCAGGTCCAATATGAGATATCCCAGTGATCTTTTTTAGCTTCAGCTTTCTTAGGTGATAAAGCTGTCCAATAGGTGGAAGGTTGGCCCATGACACGCTCTCTAGATGTAGGGTCTCCAAGTTTTTCATGTATATGATGTTGCTGCACAACCAACTAGGACCAACTACACCACCATGATTTACAATGCGAAGTCTTCTAATATAAGAGTGTGGCTGGATACTATCTAGGATATCATCTCCAGTGGACTCTTGCTTCTCATTCCAATGTAATCCCAACTCAACTAAATTTCTCTTTGCCATCAGTTTGGCTTCTTTAGCTTCATGCCTGGTTGTTACATTTTCAAGCCCATGTATATTGAGCACTCCTCCAAGTTCTTCTAGTTTACCCAACTCTCCTAGCTCAAAGCCAAAACTCTCTTTCTTGACATGGAATTCTTTCAATTCTTGTAAAAACTTCATTTTCCCCACCTCAGGAACATTGGAATGAAAATTTTCCCAAGCAACAAAATGGCGTAAATTTTCAAGACGGCTAATGTCCTTAGGCAGAGAACAACCACTTCCCCATCGGTTAACATCTAGAAATTTCAAGTGATAAAACCTAGACACTGTGTTTGGCAAAGGCACTTTTGAGTAATAAGGTGAAATAAGTTTTAAGTACCGAAGATGGACAAGGTTTGAAAAGTTGTGTGGCAAGGAACTATGGGAGTTCATGAATATAGATAGAACACGAAGACCTCTTATTTCCTTAAATGTATCCCTTAAAATATTGACTTGGCGTAACCTTCTGTATTCTCCAAAAATCATCAAACTCCGCAAATTTTTAATGTCTATCCTTTCCTTCAATTTACCCATGTCTTCATCAAAATTCTGAATATGAGTATCATGCATGAAAATGGATAGGTAACGAACAGTTTTTGGGATTTCATTTGCGTCAAAACTAGAACAACTGATATAGGCACATTCTTCTAATGAAACGATCCTTGAAAGATCATGAAGTAAATCATGCATTGCGTAAAAATTATCATCTCCTTTTATAAGAAAACCATTATCTAATAATTCATCCAAATAATCTGATCCTATGTCCTCAGTTTTTTTATTCTTCCTAGTACAGTCTATGATGCCTATTGAATCCCAAAAACAAATAATCTCAAGCTTCTCAAACTTATAATCGTAAGGGAAAAGGGAAAAACATGAAAAGCATTTTTTCAGATGGAAGGGAAGGTAGTCATAGCTAATTTTCAAGGCTGGGATAATATCATTGTCATGATTTTCTTCTAGCCACTCTTTGTTGTCAAGAATTTTCATCCAATGTTCCTGAAATGGTTTTTTGATCAATAACCGACCAACTGTTTTGGCTGCAAGTGGGGAGCATTTTAACTTATCTGCTATTTGTTTTGCAATACCAATTAACTCTCGATCACCATGCTCATCTTGGATCCTACCAAATGCACATATTTGGAAGAATTTCCAAAACTCATCAGGATCCAAACCATGGAGGTCAATTGGATTAGTTCCTTTTGTCACCATTTCTACAATTTTTGGGAACCGAGTTGTGACAAGAATCATGTTGCCACTGGTCTCGTCCTTTTTTAATGGAGCTAATAGTTTTTCCCACTCTTCAGTACTGCTACATTCCCATATGTCATCCAAGACAAGTAGAAACCTTTTGGATTTCAACCTCTCTGCGATGGATTTCTGAAGTTGGTCTAAGTTGGCAGTAGTTTCATTTGGTATTTTATTTCCTTCATTATCAGTTGCAGGTAGGCAGCTCAGGATCTCTTTGGTGAGATTAAGCACGTCAAAATTAGTCGATACACATATCCAGACATTAATATCAGGAAAACATTGCTTAATCCTTGGGTCATTGACTAAGTGCTGGGTGAAGGTAGTCTTTCCAATACCCCCTGGGCCAACTATAGGAAGAACAGACAAGGTTTTACCACTCTGTGTCACACTGATAATCTCCTCTATAGTTTTCTCAAAGATGGCATCCCTCCCAAACAACTTCTCCTGTGTGATTTGAGAGCTTGTGTCGGGCCTTTTAGTGAAGGCAGGCATGTGTGGCTGAGGGTTACTGCCTGACACTATCTTGAGCAAGTCAGAGACAGGAGTACAGTTAGAGTGCAGCTCCTCTATGAGCTGCTTGATTTTGTTGGACATTTCCACCCGGTTGAATGGCAACTTTTCAACATGGCCACCGTGGTCAAGAGACATGGCAGCAGCAACATCATCTTTTGAACGGCAACAAGAGAAGCATGAGAGCCAGTTACCAGAAGTGTGGCGAGCAGCATGGCGGGCATGCTGAGCTTTGGCGCCGAGGCCACCGCCCAAGTCCGGAGTGGCCTCTTGAGTCCCGTCCAGCTTATCCTGGATGATGAAGTAGTGGAGCTCGTCGAGAGCATCCTCAGCCTCGTCGGCCTTCTTGCCGAGCTTCTCGAGCAGCCCCTGCAGGCCAGGTTTGTTGTTGAGGTCCCTCCCCTGGGCCTCGTCCAGCAGCCCTCTGGTGTAGAGCATCTCCCGTTCGATCTCGTCAAGGTTGAGGCCGAGCTCGGTGCTGGACACGTAGGCTTCCACCAAGTCGTCGGAGAGCTTGTTGAGGACTTGGCCGAGGAGCCAGTTCGCCGCTCCGAGAGCCGCCTCCATCTCCTCCACCGGCACCGGCAGAGTTGGATTCGGCTGGCCGCAGAGGAAATTGGTTTGAGTGGTTGGTGGACTGATAATTGGACAGTTTAGCAATGCAACGAACAGTGTGCTGCAAAGGCTGAGTAATGGAACCGGTGGTTCAGGGCCTGTTCGCTGATCGGTATTAGTGCTAGTTTAGACTGGCTGGTATTAATTTTTTTAGAAAAAAATATTATTGACTGACTAGTTTGGACTGGCTAAAATCATCAAACGAACAAGCTGAAAATACATTTTATTTTGCCGGCCCACCTAGGCCCTGGGAAGGCGACTTGAAAACCATCCTAGCGTGACACGGCACCTCCATACAGATTCGAGAGGTGATACGGGCTTATAATACTCCCTCCATAAAGAGATGTACATGCATATCTATTTATTTTTTAATCTATATTTAATGTCCAAACATTTAGCGTAAAAGGTAAACACCGGCTTACTGTATACGATGAAGGTGCGGTGGAAAAGATAAAGGATCCGTTCGTTTAAACCAGTCGAAACACGATTACAACTGATTTATTATGATAGAAAAATACTATTCTGATAAAAAAAAAAAGCTAAAAATTACGGATTACAGCCAAAATGAGCTGTGAGTTGTCACATCACATCACGGAGCGTGCTCAGTAGCGTTGGCACCATCCAAATTCTAAATCCACCCACCCCACGGGCGGACCCAACAAAGGGTATGCCTGGGGCCAGCAGTAAGTCACAGATGGGTGTGAATAAAAAAGAAGGAAAAACTTGTGCGCTGCGGGCTGCGGCACGCGTGTGCGGGGGCGGGACACGAGGAGAGCGGCGTCTGCGTTCGAAAAGAACGGGGACAGCGGCGTAACTCCACCTCGGCCTCGATACTCCCCTCCCATACCATACCCATGTGATCATCATCCATCCATCACCACCTACCAGTGCTCCCATTAGCCCATCAGCGCGGCGGCCAGCTGCTGTCGGCCACGCTCACCCAGTGCCTCGCCACGCGAAGCCAGCCGTGCCGCGCCCCTGCCCGCAAGCGCCACGTGCTCACCGTGGACCGGCAGAACGACGACGACCAACCACCGCGCTCGCGCCCCTGCCCCGCCATCGCCGCCGACCGCTGCTGCGCTCGCCCATGTCGCCTCGTCCCAAGGCCGTGGGACCGTTCGGCAGGACTTAATGCTCCGCGGATGATCCGGACTGATTTGTTACGAAGAAAAAACACTATTCCATAATTAAAAAAATAACACTGATTCTTGCTAATAAAGCTCAACCAAACAGAACCGATCGAGAGGGAGAGAAGGTCGTGGCCTCTGTGCCAGGAGAGAGAGAATCTGCTGTTTATTCTTTTTCCAGAAAGATGCAATCTCGTAAATTCCGTATAAAATCAATCTGATTCTAATGTCCAATAATTGTGAAACCATTTTTTTTAACCCTTCGTTAGTATATATATATGCAGCGAATGTGTTTAATAATGTTGTGTTTAATAAACAATTGTTGTCACTATTTGTATATGAAAACTATGCTATATTCTTATAGGAAGTTCTTGTCCTCAATAAATCATGGAAAAAAATAAAGTATGTTACACATGTTAGAATTAGCATTCCTGCAAAGTTTCATGATTTATGGGGCTTATGTTTAGCAGTTACATGCAGATATCTATTTCGGTTGTTTCAATTGTTTTAACTTTAAATGCCTCATTATAAACCCAAAATCTGTGAATTTTTTACAGTAGCTCTAACACTCCACTAGTTGCTTGTAGAAAACGTTACACACCTGTTTGAGCTTGCATGTGTGATTTGTAATTATCCCTTATTATGTGGAAGAAAAAGGGAGCAAAAAAGGGACGTCAATCTGACGGGCAAAAAAACATAAAAGAAAATGGTAAAAGGGACAATAAAAATGAAAATAACGTCTTCTTGAAAAAAACAGGGTGCCATGGATGGGTAAAAAGAAAAGAGAAAAACGAAATAAATATTAAAAAAAGTGGACAACGGTCGTGGACTTATTTTGGAAATAAAAAGAAGCGAGTTAGAAGAAACGTTTCGTTCCTTTGTATTAATAGCAAAAATGTGTGTACATTGCACTGAAAATTTTTGCTTCAAGAAGCCTAGCTACCACGTCACCCTGCCCCCCTCTATCTAACACGTGTTGTAAAATTCTGTATTGTATTCTTGCCTACACCTATCAGCACTTGTTTACTTTCCACCTCAAAACTTTACATCCTATCACATTAAATGTTTAGACACATGCATGGAGTATTAAATATAGACTAAAAATAACTAATTGCACAGTTTGTGACTAATTTGCGAGACGGATCTTTTAAGCCTAATTAGTTCATAATTTAACAATAAAGTGCTACAGTAACACATGCGCTGATGATGGATTAATTAGGCTTAATAAATTTGTCTCGTGGTTTACTGACGGATTCTGTAATTTATTTTTTTATAAGTATCCAAACACCCCATGCGACACCCCATGTAACATCCGATGAGACACCCCAAAACTTTACATCCTTAATCTAAACAAGGCCTGAGTCCGATTTCGCTAGCATTGTATCTTCCACTCAGCTTCCAACCTCTAGAGCTACAATGCACAAGGGAGGCCCTAGGTGGTCTTTAACTCTTTGTCGTCATTGCCCGACGATAGTGTTCACCGTTTTCCCAATCGGGTTGTCGGTGTTTTGAGTTGCCACCGATGAGTAAATTTGTATTATTGTGCGTTTGGTCCGGATGGTGTGCTAAAAGGACATGAGGTTTATACTGGTCCGGGCAGAATATTCCTACGTCCAGTTCGTTGCTGCTGCTCGTGTTACTAGCACTGAAAATTCGTAGTAGGGGTTACAAACGGTCGAGAGAGGGACATGTCCCAAGTCTCTGGTGGTATGTTGCGATGAGTTCCGATCGAGTTCGGATGTGTTCGGCCGTCCCTTGTGGGACGCCTTGCTTTCCCTTTTATAGACCAAGGAAGAGCACGTGTTATAGTGGAGGAAGAGAAGAGAACGAGATGAAGAAGTCCTTCAGGATTGTCGGGTCCCTCTTCTCCTTTATGCGGGTCCTGCTGACCCTGTAGACGTCAACAGGGACAGCTTCTCATCGCGGCCCTGTCCGTCACTGGCGCCATGTGCGGGCGTCGTCTGCCGGTCATGGCGCTCCACTCCGTCCTAGCGGACGTCGTGGTGAACTGACGCGCCCGTCAGTGTTCGTACGGGGGTTAGGCAGAACAGCACCGGTATGCCTGACGCTGTTCCTGATGTGAACCCCCAGGGTATGCTCCGTCGTGGGGTCGCGGGCTACATCGAGGCGTGCCGATCTCTTCCCTGGCATCAGAGCTTTGACCTAGGACCATACGCTTGGACCTGGGTGGTTGGCGGCGGTATGGGTCTCCGTCGGGCGAGATGGAGCCTCCGACCTCAGGGTCGGGCGACGCGGAGTTCCTCCCTAGAGGCCGGGCGAGGTGGAGCGCAAACCCAAGGCTCCGGCGAGGCGGAGCCCAAACCCAAGGGTCAGGCGAGGTGGAGCCAGCCCTTAGAGGTCGGACGAGGCGGAGCCCGCGGCCTTGGTGTCGGGCGAGACGGAGCCCACCCTCAGGGGTCGGTCTAGGCAGAGCCCGTGGCCACGCGGCCTGGGTGTCGGATGAGGCAGAGCCACCCTCAGGGGTCGGGCGAGGCGGAGCCACCCTCAGGGGTCGGGCGAGGCGGAGCCCGCGGCCTCGGTGTCGGGCAAGGCGGTGCCCGCCCCTAGAGGTCGGGTGAGGCGGAGTTCACCCTCAGTGGTCGGGCGAGGCGGAGTCTGCCCTCAGGGGTCCGTTGAGGCAGAACCCGCGGCCTCGGTGTCGGGCGAGGCAGAGTTTGCGTACCTAGGGGTCGTTAAGAGCTGTAGTCGCGCTCTTGACCGCTCGGATGAATCAATGTTGATGGTTATTAGCACCTCCTCTTCGGGTACCCTATTATTGGTCCCCGACAGTAGCCCCCGAGCCTACGGAGGAGTAGAATACTCATTCAGAGGTTTTTTCAAATGGGAGGACTCTAAGGGTCTTGGCCTTCTTTTGTCACCCACGTCATGTCCCGGGGACGATGATTCCCTCTCATTGAGGTCAGACCCTTCGCGAGTATGGTCATGAGATTTGGTTGGTTGAAAAAGGTCTTTCCTGATTTTCAACCCCTGCGGGGTTTGTCGTTCTGTGACCGTGCGTTCGGTCACCTTGCGAATCCAACTTTCCTCGAGCTCCCGCGCTTAGCGGGGGTCCGATCGAAGGTCGGCTCGCCTTTGTGATTGTCACCCCGCCCATGGTTTCCGCAACCAAAAGGGTGAGCCATGCCATGATTTTCATCTACGGACGAGCCGTGGTGCTCGGTGAGTTGTTAGCTGGCTAGTTCGAGTGGGGTCTGGCATCCCATTCGCGGGGATCCGGCTAGGGCCAGCTTGGTGACTGACTTTAGATTCTCAGCGGTCAATTCATATAGTTCTCAGGTCCGCTCGACCCGTACTGAGGGCTCACTGCCTTTCTTCAGGAAAAAACATGGATCGTACCCGGTTGAAACTCGATCGTGGGTTGGGATGCCTGTGGCGCTCGTGCGCCTATGTACCGGCCGCTTGTGGTCCCATCCCTTTCCATCCCTTATTCTAAGGGTGCCCGAAGCGGTTGTCGAATCCCGTCGATGGGCCAACCTTCGAACTCCTAGGCCCAGGTAGGCCATGGAGGTGTTTTTTTATCAGTATTCCTCTTACTTGCGATGAGTCGTGGCCCGTCCGGAGAGGCGAAACGTCCGTCGAGTTTTCTGAGGGGACGGACAGAGATTGCGTGCGCACTTCCCATGGCGGGACGTTGTGGTAGATCATGGCAGGCGCAGAGATCCAGGCGGACGGTTGGTTTCCTTGCATTTGTCGCCCCTATAAAACCAAAGGGTTTACCCCTAGGGTTCTATACCTTGCATCCTTGCCTCTGCAGCCACGACCGCTGCCACCAATCGCCTAGGTGTCTTGCCTCCGCATCTTCGT